TGTTTCACATACGTTGCTCACCGACATGGACACCTACAAATGATGTTGAAAGAGTCACATACTGTATTTATAGGGTATAATTCACCTAAAAATGTCATTTTTGTCTTCATATAATGATGTTTTGAAATCACAAGTGACGTGAGCTGCTGATCGTAAGCTGTTATCACAGAGAGGGCATGTGCGCGTCTACTGTAGTGAACAGAACCTGCATATTGAGTAACAGGTAAAGTTGTAAATAATATTCAGTTTGTGTCAAAAAGTGATCGTTTGGGAGTGGCGAGCGAAGTATAAACAAGCACTTAGCAGTCAAAATGAAATAATACAGTCATGAATAATTAAGAAGCCGGCTCTTTTCATAGGATAAGAAAACTCAGCTATGAATAATGAGAAACCGACACGCCATCACTCCACTTGCAGTTTTGCACTACGTCACCTATTTTGATCCTGCCCCAAAAATCATTTCAAATCATTTTGTGATATTTTCAGTCGGTATACATTATCAATACTCTGGTGACAAGTATCAATATTTTTCTAAATGTACAAAAAATCTTAATTAACTAATCAGTTCATTGACTGCAGCAGGGGGTGATGCAGTGGCGCAGTGGGTAGTGCTGTCACCTCACAACAAGAAGGTCGCTGGTTAGAGCCTTGGCTGGGTCAGTTGGCATTTCTGTGTGGAGTTTGCATGTTCTCCCTGCATTCGCGTGGGTTTCCTCCAGGTGCTCCGGTTTCCCCCACTAGTCTAAAGACATGCAGTACCGGTGAACTGGGGAAGCTAAAATTATCTGTAGTGTATGAGTGTGAATGAGTGTGTATGGATGTTTCCCAGAGATGGGTAGTGGCTGGAAGGGAATCCGCTGCATAAAACATATGCTGGATAAGTTGCCGGTTCATTCCACTGTGGCGAACCCAGATTAATAAAGGGGCTAAGCCTTCATAGTCATATGGATACCTTCTTCTGATCAAGCTGGACTGAGATATTTGTGTTTAGACATCCCAACTCTCTTAAATTGCCCACTAGTTTCCCCCTCACAGACCCACTTTCACTTTGCTAGATCGCTTGCCTGTGCCCGCGGTCAAAGCTATAAGACTTCGTACAGGAATAAGTGTCTTAGGTTTACAGAAAACTAGAAAGTAATAAATTGCTATTTTGACAGTGTTTAAATGTATATTCCACAAAATTAAGATTTTGCTAAGACTATTTTAAAGATGTGCCATTTCAGTCACAAATGTCTCTCTGCACAGAAGGATTTTTAAGCTTGTAAGACAGCTGTGTGCTTGTTTTACACTGTTGCAATTCTATAAAACGTGCTGTTAATAAAAGAAATGCATCATTACTTTTTCATGCATTTTTTTCTCATTCATTTACAAATGGTGATGGGTTTTCTTGTGATAAATCGATATATTTATTGCAAAGTTGACAATATTGTGATATATCAATATCAGGAGCAAGATACGGTGATAATATCCCCTACAAGACTAATGACAGTTTGATAAACATAAAAGTGAAGTTTGTGGTGTTTGGTTGGTTTAATGACATTAATTGTAAAAGACAAAAAACTTAATTTACATATTCGGATGTTTCGATGCTTACAAAAAGAGCTGTTAGAGATGAGACGAAGTGTAAGAGTCGAGAGAGGCAAATCTGACAGAGAATTTCAAAATATCAAAGATGGTTTACTAAAGTGGGTCAGCCATCTGCTGGCACTAAAGGAGGATACGGTCCAGATAACAGTTCTAATCAATTGCTAATAGCAGCCTGGAGGAGGTATGGAAACATTACCTCCGAAAAGAAGATAAAGAAGGCCAACTAAAAAATATGACTTTGGTGGACAACCCTGATGAACTGCTAAAATGTGGATTTACATGTTTAGAGATATACTACAAGCTTTCCTGATCTAGTAATACAAAAAGTATATCAGCAATAACATTTATGAATGAATACTGTATAAAAGGCTGGAGCATACAAACCTGCAGCGTGCTTAACTGACTTCTTTATACTGAATTCATACATCCTTTATTCTCAGCGGAGGATAAAGTAAAGGATTTTTGTTTTGTTCTCATATTTGTTTTATTCTTTTTTTCACCGAATTTAATTTATTAATAATAGTGTATTTGTATTAATTTTCTTTAATAAGCACAGGTACAGGTGCAAAACAGCTATAGTTCCCTCTGACCAAAAGATCTGATGGCTATTTTTTCCTGAAACTTCACAGAAACATTCTGGAGACACAAAATACATATTTCATATCTTGTAAAAGGAGCAAAATAGTAGCCCTTAAATAGTTTGCAAAAAAATGTTTCCTCACCATTGACAGTAACAACGAAGTTCATTACTAATTTTCCTCCACTGTGGTCGATATGTAGAATATAAAGTCCAGAATGTTTGGCTCTCGTGTTGTTGATGGTCAGAGATCCAGTCTGATTCAGCTTCAGTCTGCCTTTGAATATCTCAGTGTAGTTAGGATATGAGATATTATTTTCATTGATTTGAGCAATGGTGGAACCTTTGTCTCCAAACCTCCAAAGTAATAGATCGATCTCCTTTAAACCCTGACGAGGATTTAAAGTGACAGAATCTCCCTCCGTCACTGTCACTGCTTTTACTTCATCTGCAGTAGCAGCAAACACACCTGCACAAAAAGCAGAAACAGATATTTAAATACAATATAAAGAATACAGTGACAAAGACAATAAATAAAGTTTTCATACACACCCTTTTAAAAGTTTTAGAAAATTCATATTCTGGTCACCCAGGCTGCATTTAGTTAAAAGAAATTACAACCTGAAATCTATGGGTATCTTTTTCAATTCATAATAGTTAAACAAAATGTTTATATTTGAATATATATGAAAAATGCTAACTATTCCTGTAATGTCAAATCTGAATTTTCAGAATCATTACTTTTCAGTGTGACACAATCTTCAAGAAATCTAATGATTTCATGCACATGAAACAATATGCTAACATGCGGAATTGTCCCCATTTAGCATGTCTTTAAAGGGGGGGTCCACTACGATATTATATTTTAAACTTTAGTTGATGTGTAATGTAGCTGTGTGAACATAAACAGCATCTCTGAATGTAAAATGCTCAAAGTATAATGCAAAGGGAGACCTTGATGTTTACAGAGTTAGCTTAGAAAAGCCTACAATGAAAGAATTTTGGGGACTACAAAAAATACTTCCGCCCCCTGTGAGATCACAAAAGTTAGTTTATTGTGCATCCACATTGCGCAGCTAAGGGCCGTGGCCAGAGGCGCTGTAGCGTTACAGCAGAGGGAGAAATGCCATCCTGCTGTTTTCACAGAGCTTCTCTGTTTCTGTATTTGGGCTTCCAAATGACACAACCCAAACACAGAACTGCTTACAGTTTAATATTAATTACCTTCCAGAGAAAGTTCAATATTAATTACATTCCAGAGAATTTTAAAATACATAGCAAGCATGATTTGACAAAAAACTGCTTCCAGAATCTCTCCCAGTTCAGTGCTGGATTCGGCTAAAATCTCCTCAAAGATGGAGCAACTACAAGGAGACACTGTGAACTAGGCCTGGGCGAAAAAAAAAAATCTAGATTTTTTATGAAGTTTGACCGATTCACGATTTCGATTTTTTTTATTATTGTGTAACTAGTCAACTTAAAACATTGCAACAACATGACTGAAGTAACATTCTCTTTGTAAGTAACTTGAAAAACCATCTGGTTAAGGAATATTGTATTTTTAATAGCCATGCCATAAATTGGTCAACAAGGTGTAAATAAATGTAAAACAAATTCACGAGTCAAATATCACTGCAGAAGATTTGAATAAAAAATACTTGTGTAAATATTGCAGTTGCAGGAATAAAGAGGTATTGTTTTGCAAGTTTTGCTAAGCCTAGGAAAGATTGGCTGTCAGCTCGGCTTTGACTGTCTTCTTCTGATTAAATGACAGGTTGTAAAGCTGCTGCCTGTTTCTTAAAAAGATACAGTGGAAGTAAAGGATTGAACATGGAAACTGTAAAGCCTAATTTAACCCAATGCGTGAAGTTGTGGACGCATAGCAGGAGCAAAAACAAGCACCAGATGTGTGTCTAATATAAAATTATATATTTAATCTATTTTTCTTTTTCCCCCCTTTAATATCGATGCGCTTTGCACCACTCTCGTGCTGCCTGACCTGTCTGGTTTTCAACTAGGTCCATTAAATGACGTCATGGGGGCGGGTACTTTCATTTTCTCTGCCACAGCTGCTCACCTCTGCTCGTGTTCAAACTAAGTTCGGCACGTTTTTTTCACATGGCTGGTTTTTTAAATTAATCATATTGCCACACTGCCTCCAAAAACTTTCGTCAGTCATAAAAAAATTTGAATCAGGCTCCTTTTTTTCTGCATCTGAGAAAGTATTTGAAAGGTGTTTTGACAGCTCAGAGCCACCATATAAGTGAAATGTGCACCTCATTTAAATAATCATATTGCACTTTAGAGTTATAATTACGACAAGCATTTGATGTTTTTTTGTTTGATATGTTTTTTGTCATTTAAGTGTTGTGCATGAGAATAAATGTGTAACAGTGCGAGTATAACTACTCTAGCCTATATAATGTTGAATATAATGCAAGATGGAATCTGATAATGACAAATGTCTCATTTTATTTTAGTGGAAAAAGTGGTCTAATAATCACAGATTGCAAGCATACATCTCAAACATAATAATTCAACTTTCAAATTATGAATAGTTGTATTCAGATGACATCACTTTACTGTGCATTAATGACCAGGACATATTTAAAGTCTGTTAAAGTCCACCATTCCAAGTCTATACAAAATTTAGCATTTTAACCAACAGTAGACCTACACAGAGGCCTAATAATATTGTTGCCTTAACACGTTTGGGAAATAACAATAATTATAGATTAACCATATTAACCTTTATTTTACATCGACAGAATCGTGAGAAAAACGTGATTTGATTTTAAGCAAAAACAAATTGTGATTCATCATTTTAGCCAGAATTGTGCAGCCCTACTATTAACCGCACTTTAATTCATCATGTTTAATAAATTGTATTAATAAATTGCAGCAACACTGCGTTTTTATTGAACAAAATGGAATTATTGCAATTTTGGTCAAATGAAAAAATTTTACCATCAGCATGACAGCTTAATGTCACGAGTTTATAAGAGGCACAGAGGCTATTAGCATTTGTGCCAGCCTGATCTCACGAGGAAACGTAACGTTTTGTCAGTTTAGTGGCTACTTCAGTCGTACCAAAATGTACGATTTTAAAAAGGAGGCGTGGCACCTAACCCCACCCCTAACCCCAACCGTCATTGGGTGATGAGCAAATCATACTAAATTGTACGAATTAGATTGTACGAATTCATACAAATTAGCCACTAAATCAAAAAGTTACGAATTGCTGTGAGATTATGTTGGTTGTGCACATATTTTTTGTTGTATTGATAATAAAACACCAGATATAGATAACAAATATAGTTTTGATGATTTAGTTTACAAATTTAATTAGCTGTGTTTACAGGGTTCACACTAAGAATCTTTTTGTTCAGATTTTAACTTGGCCTGCCAAAATTTTCACTTGCCCCATAAAAAAAAAAAAAAAAAAAAAAAAAAAGTTAATAGCTATTTCTTAGCCACATATTTTTAAATGTGTCAAAAGCCAAACATAACTGCATACATACACTTTAGTATATTCAACTGTATTAGTTTATACAGTTTATTCAACATAAATTTTCTTTAAATACAACTGTAAAATTGTAAAAACATTTTTGACAAAAATTGTACAACAATACAAATTGTAAACAAAAAAATACAATTGTGATGTAACTAAATTTGGGGGGGGGGGGTTAATAAATAATAATATATACATACATATTTTATTTTATGTTAGTAAATGTATAATGAGCAAAATTCAAAGTGTTATGCAAACATATCTAGCAGTATGGGAATGCTGTTATAGGCAAACAAGGAGATCTAAACTCACCAAAACACCCAGAAACAGATTAACGTTACAGGGTCCCTTATGCGAGTTTAAATTCACTTGAATAAATTTGATCACAACTCTAAACGAGATAATAAACTTAGGAAAACACAAAACAATAGCACACAATAGCAAATATTTAACGTTATGATATTGCAATGCGAAACCGAAAGTTTCAATAATAAACAGAAATGTCACACTTACTCCACATTAGCAGTAAAATCAAAATGAAGATTGAAGTCCTCTTCATAATGTCGAAGATTCAAGCAAAATGAGATTTTGGATGATTTAAATATTTGTTTTTATGTTTGATTCTGAACCACACCCGAGATAACGTAGCGACAAATCTATAACAAGGTTCAGAAAACCAAACCACTATTTACTAATTATATATTTCTAGAAAATAATCTATAATCTTTTTGATTTCAATTATAAAGTAACATTACCACAAAAAAGACCTCTCAAGCCTCTAAAAACGGATATTCTAACGGTATTTTTTCTTTCCTCTTTTTTTCCATTTCCTCCGTCTTCTTCTTATTATTTTGGCGGTTGGCAGACCAAATCTAAATAATGAACTCCTGCCACCTACTGGATTGGAGTGTGAAGCACATTATGGTTGAAAAAAGCATGAAATCAAGGATATCAATGATAAGACTGGAGGGAATGAGATAAGCAGGAGAAAGAAAAGTGGGGGTGGTCTATTGTTAATACTTGTGTAAATTAATAATTCCTTTATTTTGCTAAACCATTGTTTCTTTTAAATAATAAATTAATTGATGCACTTAATAATTTTAACTTGATTTCCTAACAGGACCTAAAGTGACAGATTATTTACACCATATAATCTTAGCACTTGGATTAATTGGAATCTCAGTTTCTCATATGCCACACATTCTGCAAATACTTGCTCTATTATTGTGTCTGCTTGTCAACATTTATCACAACAACCAATCTCATGCTTTTCTATTCCATAAAGACACTGATTTAACAAACAATAACCAACATGCAATCTTGTCAACACCACATAATTCCTTCTATTACTAAACATATTTCTTACTAACCCACACTTCCTTGAATAAGATGTACAGTTGAATTCAGAATGATTAGCTCTCCTGAATTATTAGCCATACCCTCCCCCCCGGCCTTTAGTTTTTCCCTATTTTTTGTTTAACGGAGAGAAGATTTTTAGACACGTTTCTAAACACAATAGTTTTAATTACTCATCTCTAATAACTGAGTTATTTTATCTTTGCCATGATGACAATAAATAATATTTGACTAGATGTTTTTCAAGACACTTCTATACAACTTAAAGTGACATTTAAAAGGCTTAACTAGGTTAATAAGGTGAACTAGGCAGGTTAGGGTAATTAGGCAATTTATAATGATGGTTTGTTCTGTAGACTATCGAAGAAATATAGCTTAAAGGGACCAATAATTTTGGCCTTAAAATGGCTTTTAAAAAAATTAAAAACTGCTTTTATTCTGGCTAAAATAAAACAAATAAGACTTTCTCCAGACGAGAAAATATTATCAGACATACTGTGATAAATTCCTTGATCTGTTAAACATAATTTGGGAAATATAAAAAAAATTAATTAATAAATAAAAGTGTGGCTAATAATTTTGACTTCAACTGTATATGTATATCTCCATTATCCCACTCCTTAAGCCGTTTACTACCTATTTCTTTTGTAATCATCCCTTTCACATCCCTTTACTCATTGTTATCTTTATTTGTATTTGTGTATGTTGCAATGCTTGTTTAGTGAGTTGATCTGCCTCTTCATTGCCCACTACTCCCATGTGACCAGGAATCCACAAGGAGCTTACAAGAAGTCCATACTATCTTAAACTCTGCATCCCCTCGTTTACCATGTCCTGTCTTGCTGTTGAAGTTCCACTTATTAAGCTATTCAGTACTGACATAGTGTCTGTACATACTACTGTCCTAATTGTTTTCTTTGTGTATTCATAATGTCAATTTACTACCTGTTCTGTTATTTAAATCACCGCATATTAAACATGTCCTTGTGTCTGGAAATGACAGACGTTGTCTTGCAGAACTGAAAAGGTTTCTTCATTGTAATAGGGGGATTTAGACAATTAAGGGGAAAGTTTGTGGTACACAAGAGTGACGGTCTGTGGATATAGTATCTTCATACTTTGTACAGTATTTTCATTAACTAACAATAACTAACCATGGCAGCAAGAAGGTAGCTGGATCGAGTCCCGGCTGGACCAGGTGCCACATGAATCCATCTGTCTCTCTTTTCCTCAAAGTCAGGAAAGAATAGCATAATTTATTTACAAGCTGAATTGCAAGCTTTAGGTTAAATAATAATAACAAAAAAATATATTACATTAGGAGTAACAAAGAAATAATTAAATTATGATTAAATATTTAAATCGGCATGGCGGCTCAATGGTTTGCATTGTCGCCACACAGCAAGAAGGTATATAATTGCGCTATAGGTGAATTGAATAAACTAAACTGGCTGTAGTGTATGTGTGTGTGATTGAGAGTGTATGGGTGTTTCCCAGTGGGTTGCAGCTGGAAGGGCATCTGCTGCATAAAACATATGCCAGAATAGTTGGCGGATCATTCCACTGTGGCAGCCCCTGATGAATAAGGGACTAAGCTGAAGGAAAATAAAGGAATGAATGAATGAATGAAGGCATGAATGAATAGTGCAATTATGTAAGCTTATGACATATCTATATTATAAATATATATTACGACTTTTATCAAACAGACTGAACATATTGTTTGTAAATAGACTGACAAAAACATTACAAATCTTTCTATTATTCAAATCATTTACCAATTGTTGAAAAATTAATGCCTCCTAGTGGCAAATTACAATAATTTTTCAAGTGAGTTTGGCCACTCCCCCTAAATCTGTAGCCCGACGCCTAGAGTCGAGAAACACTAGTTTAAACCAATGAGCATTAAGTTGTTCTATCAGGATGCACCAGCAGCACAGAGGGTGTTTTTCACATCTGCTCAAAAGTTTTACTTAATCATTATTACAAACCAGCAGCGGCACAGTCTTCTTCAGCTCTTCTGTTATTATATTAAAAAAAAAATAATAATAAGTTTAAAAATAAATTTTAAATTGTTTTTTGAAGCCCTAAAACAAAAATGGCTAAAAATATATTTGACATATTTATATTATTCTGTTTATTCTCATGGAGTCAAAACGGTGAGTCTTTGTAAATTATTTTCCCACATGCATTGCTCAGTTTGGATTTATTAAACTATTATACTTTATTAGTTTGTAATGTTGTTTTGAAATTTGCCTATTTAAATAAAATAGTTTTGTTGTTGTTGTTGTTAATCAGGTGTGTGTGGTGATGGAGTGAAGTCGGTGTTGGTCACTGAAGGAGATTCGGTCACTCTTAAATCTGCTCTTGTTGGAATCCAGAGTAATGATCTGATAATGTTGAGATTTGAGCCTGGAGATATTCTCTTAGCTAAAATCAGTGAAAAGAGGGAGATTTCTTATAGTCGTGATGGGAGATTGAGAGACAGACTGAAGCTGGACAGTCAGACTGAATCTCTGATCATCACAGACAGCAGAATCACAGACTCTGGACTTTATAAAGTGACCACAGTCAGCTCAAACACGCGACTCAACAAATTCAGCCTCACTGTCTATGGTGAGTTGAGAATTACTTACCATGTTTTATAGACACCATCAACAATTCAGTAATGACACACTGATTCATTTCTTTATAATTACATAGTTTAATTATTAACCTTAATAATATTTTGGTTTCATTGCTACTTTAATATAAAAAAACTATATAATATCTGTACATTTTAATCAACTAACTAATAGCAGGTTTCCTATTTACTTTTTTCTTGTTTACTTTACATAAAATATTTGATTGATTTTCCTATATTTTCCAGCTCATCTGTCTGCTCCTGTCATCAGTAACTCTTCATCAGTGCAGTATTGTTCAGTGGTGTGTTTAGTGGTGAATGTGAGCGCTGTGAGTCTCTCCTGGTTCAAAGGAAACAGTTTTTTGTCCAGCATCAGTGTGTCTGATCTCAGCATCAGTCTCTCTCTACCTCTGGAGATTGACTGTCTGGATGATTCCTACAGCTGTGAGGTGAAGAATCCCATCAGCAATGAGACCACACAACTCAGTAATCAAATGTGTCAGCCGTGTTCAGGTACTTTAATGGTCATTTATACACTTTAAACTCTCTCTTTCTTATATCTAACGAACAACTCAATAAATCAAATATATACATTATTATATGTTATATATAACAATATAACATATATCTCATTACTTCTCTTCTAGACTGTGTCTGCTGTTGTGGTTTTACTGAAGCTGTGATTCGATTGGCTCTCTCTGCACTGGTGGCTGTGGCTACTGTTGCTGTGCTGTTCCATGACATCACATCTAAAAGACCTGACAATAAAAGAGAAAACAAACATCACCTTCAGACTCTGATTAACCAGGAAGGTGAAGATGTTTTTTGATTTCTATTTGATTTACATTATGTAACAAAATAAATATTGATGTAATTTATTTTTTAAAATAAAGGTAGGTTATTTATTCATTTTCTTTTCGGCTTCGTCCCTTTATTAATCCGGGGTCACCACAGCGGAATGAACTGGCAACTTATTCAGCACATTTTTATGCAGCGGATGCACATCCACACACACTCATTCACTACAGACAATTTAGCCCACCAATTCACCTGTACCGCTTGTCTTTGGACTGTGAGGGAGACCGGAGCACCCAGAGGAAACCCACGCGAATGCAGGGAGAACATGCAAACTCCACACAGAAATGCCAACTGACCCAGCCAAGGCTCGAACCAGTGACCTTCTTGCTGTGAGGTGACAGCACTACCTACAAAGCCACTGCATCGCTGGTAGGTTATATTAATCAATTTATTTAATGCAACTTGTCAGAAAATAGAGTCTTACAAATCAACTGATCAATCATGTAATAAATTTGTAATATCACTCATGCTTATTTTGTTATATTTTTGGAAGATTAGTCCAGTTAGATTTACTTATTACATCCCATGCCCGGAGCCCGGAGCCACTGTTGTTGCTTTTCTTGTGTAAGAAAGATGTTTTCGAAGAGAATGGATGTATGGATGAGAGTGTTTGTTAGTGGTGTCTGATAACAGAGAACATTTTGATAAAAGTCACTGTGACTAGAAAAACATTTCATTGTTTGTGCTTTTCATGCTTTTTCCCTCAGTTTTTTTTAACCCTGTGTGTTTTAGTAGGCTAATTAGTGTAAACATGCAGACATTAAAAAGTGGAAAATCCCAATAGTACTGTATCTGCAGACTTGCACATGTAAGGGCTGGAACACACCAAGCCGACGGCATTGGATTGTGTCTGGACCAAAAAGCTGCAATTGAACACACCAAATGGACAAAATATTGTCTTTGATTAAACAGAGTAGGCCGATAACTAAAGGTTTTTTGTTTTTATTTGGTATTTAGTTAATGATATGTTGAACCCATTTTTTTCTTTTGGCTTAAGTTCACCTTTTATAGATGATTGTGCTTTCTTCTTATGAAATAAAGGCATTAAGTCACTCTGAAATCTTTTGTTGTCCTTATTAAGGAGTTGTGATTTCACCCTTTCATAATTTTACTGTGTTGTTACCGCTGATGTATTGAGCTAATAAACATTGAGATGTCTCTGCATCTTGTCTGAACACAATATAATTTTTTTAAATATAATATTTAATATAATATTTTCAGCTTAGTACCTTTATTAATCCGGGGTAATTAATAATATTAAATATGTACAAACCCTCTTTGCAAATACAAATTCTAGAATTTATTACAGTAAAATTGATAAAATACTATAGTGTTTACATCTTACTGCAATGTAAGTTTTTTTCTACTGAATTGCAAACAGTAAATACTGTACAACTTATACAGTAATCGAGTAGACTGAAACACTATCATATTGCAGCATTTATTATAGTATTTAGTTTGTTATAGTATTTATATGTTGTTATTTTATACAATATTCTAAACAAAGAACTAATTAAATGAAAAAAATATATATTTTAAGAGTTGCCTCTGAATTTTTTTTTTTTTCATTGAGTTTACATTTTTAAGGTAAGTGGTTGCAAAAATATAAATGGGCTGAATTGAAACAAACAAATAACATTTTCCTAAACTTAATTAGTTTGTTTAAATTCAGCTAATTTAAATTGCTTGCAACCGCTTACCTTAAAAAATATGTAAATCCGATGCCTGATTTTTTTTCAGTGTATGTGTTTATAACAATTTGTCTTTTTTATTTATTTATTTATTTTTTAGCTAGAACAGCATAACATTTTTGCCATAAAATTGAAATATTCCTCTGAATACTCATATTTTCCCGAAGGCTATCACACATAGTTGCCTACAATATAATACTGTAATAGCTGTAGAAAATCTTGCAGGTACTAATGAAGTTTTTATTTATTATGTTTTTATTTATTACATATTTACATTAATAATAATTACATAAAAACTTAATATCGTTTAAATTTGTAGTCTATTTAAAAAAAAACTATACCATTTTACCTCATTGAATTTAGTAATATTGGCATATTTAGTATGCCTATTTAGTATAAAAATGTAGCATTTATTAAAATAATAAACACTAATGTTAGTAACTTGCTGATGCTGATAAATTTCAACAATGTTTTTTTTTTCATATGCTAAAGCAACAATCAATCAATAAATAAAACGGTTTGTTAATCAAGACCATCAAGATGAATTTTTTTTTACGGAAAACATTCTGCCAATTCTGCCGGCACATTATCCTATTATCCTATACCACCGGAAAATGACTAATCTTCTGTAATAATTTTAGCCTATTGTAATTTTAGCCTAAAATTGTGCCTTTTTATTATGTTATTACTTTATCGGAAAACTCTTTTTTGTGTGTGTGTGTGTGTGTGTGTGTGTGTCTGTGTGTGTGTGTGTGTGTGTGTGTGTGTGTGTGTGTACAGACGAAGAAGGGAGGTGCTTCTGGATGCGTTTCTGACTAGTTTGAAGGAACTGCTTCATTACACAAGATGCACTTTTGTTTTCGGCCTGTTTTTATTTTTTCTAAGTTCAAAGGTGTATAGTAGCGTTTCTTGATTGATTTTCTTTGTAAAATTAGCAAAAGTTTGCTTCTGTTGATTAAATGTCAAAAAGGACATTCGACATGTTTATGTTCATTTGTTTGTATCTATGGAGTCTGCCTGGTAAGTAACGTCTTTCCTTGGTTATTTTTGTGTATTATCTTTTGCTGTATCTACATACCTGTATACTTAAATCTCAAAAAATCTCTCTCCCTCCCCCCATTATTATCAATATAATATTGGATTAAAACATGAAATCGTTTTTAAAAACAAAAAACGAAAAACATTGTAGTAAATCTTAAATAATAGAAAGCCTAACCATGTGTTTGTTGATCAGGTGTGTGTGGTGATGGAGTGAAGTCGGTGTTGGTCACTGAAGGAGATTCAGTCACTCTTAAATCTGCTCTTGTTGGAATCCAGAGTAATGATCTGATAATGTTGAGATTTGAGCCTGGAGATATTCTCTTAGCTAAAATCAGTGAAAAGAGGGAGATTTCTTACAGTAGTGATGGGAGATTGAGAGACAGACTGAAGCTGGACAGTCAGACTGGATCTCTGATCATCACAGACAGCAGAACCACAGACTCTGGACTTTATAAAGTGACCACAGTCAGCTTAAGGTCGCCAATCAACACATTTAACATCACTGTCTATGGTGAGTAGAGAATTACCGAGTCTAAACGTAAGTGTCTCCTCAACATTTACTTTTAGCTAGGAAACAATTTAGAACCTGTGATAGCAATGATGATTAGTCTGTCTTGCTATGACACATTACATTGTAGTTTTTTTTTTACAAAACAGTTTTGCTATCATATACATAAAATGCAAAGCATTTTCATACTTTTTGCATATAATATAATTTAAATATAAAAATATAATGAAAATAGTTTGCATTTACTTATCATCTCATGTATTATCACGTTTTTCAATGATAGCCTTGCATGCTTTCAAAACAAGCATTATTCATTAAGATGGGCGATAAAGCCTCAAAATTCAATCACAATATTTCCAGAATAGTTTTGACAATGACATTTATGACTATATAGCAAAAAATAGAAAAAAAGAAAAATGGAACATTGCTTTATTAATGATTTTAGGTGGCAGACAGCAACATCTATTAGTGCCAACGACCAATTTTAAGAACAAAAATCTGCTCAGTATATAATTTATTAAAGTAAATGAGATGTGGAAAATTGGTGAAACTAAATAAAAATGTATCATGAATAAATATTAGTTTTAAGAATATTGCAATTTATTTAAAAAATGTTTAACTGATATTTCACTGACATAATTAATTAATATTGCCTAAAAATACTTTATTAATATTTCAAAATATAAAAATTATGAATAAATGTATGAAAAACTGTTATTTCAAGGATTTTATGTCCAAAACATGAACAGTTTAAGTTGTTTTATTTGTAGTATGGCTAATTTGATAATAATAGACATTTACATTGTTTCAATTTGTTAACATTGTTTTTTCTACGTTGGGCGACATGGTGGCACAGTGGCAAACACTGCAAGAAGGTCACTGGTTTGAGCCCTGGGTCAGTTCACATTTCTGTGTGGAGTTTGCATGTTCTCATCGTGTTCGCATGGGTTTCCTCCGGGTGCTCCGGTTTCCCCCACAAGTCTAAAGACATGCGCTATAGGTGAATTGAATAAACTAAAATTGTCCATAGTGTATGTGTGTGAATGCAAGAGTGTACTGTATGGGTGTTTCACAGTGGCGTAGCGGAAAGGTCCTCACTTAGCGTGATTTCCGTGCAATGCTGCTCTTGTTCTCAGGAAGGTGTTATTGTTGGCAGATTTGCAGAGGGTCGTGTGTGCTAGAAAATCTTAATGTGTCATATGTCATCACATCGCTTTATCACTGATATCACAATATGGCATTTTTTTTTATCATGTATAAATGTTATTATCATTGATGACATAACATGGCACAGCCCTACTACTCAGTATCATATTGATCATACTTAAGTATCATATTTAAGACGTTATATTTTTTTAGCCAGTGATTAAACTAATTAAATGTGTTTACTCATCCTCAATTCTGTATATTCAATGATGTCTTTCAGCTCGTCTGCTCATTCCTGTTCTCAAAAGAGACTGTTCATCATCAGTGCAGTATTGTTCAGTGGTGTGTTCAGTGGTGAATGTGAGTGCTGTGAGTCTCTCCTGGTACAAAGGAAACAGTGTATTGTCCAGCATCAGTGTGTCTGATCTCAGCATCAGTCTCTCTCTACCTCTGGAGGTGGAATATCAGGATAAAAACACCTACAGCTGTGTGGTCAACAACACCATCAGCAACCTGACCACACATCTCAATATAACTGAGCACTGTCTGACGTGTTCAGGTATGGCACTATTAAAACGTGTTTGATTACTAAAACTGATCTCCTAAGTTATACAGTGCTGCTATTTTGTATAGTATGTGCTGTATTAAATAACACCACATTAATACTACATTTTGTCTATTACAGATCTGGGCATTACCTTGTTGTACACAGTGCTGCCATCTGCTGGAGGATTTCTGATAATTGTTTCTGTGGTCTTCTGTATCTTCAGGAAACAAAGAAAAATAGGTCAAGGAGGCAAGTGTTACCTAGAAATACCTCTTATAAACATTAGAATAATGTGTGAAGTACATGAAACAAGTTTGCCGAACACTGTTTTCCAGTTTTCTTGTTTTTTTTGTCATTGTAGTTGAACCAGTTCAGAAGTGTGAAGCAATACCAAATGCTGATCCGACATTCTACAAAAGAAAAGCACAGAAAATGGTATGTTCATTTATTTCACTTGACATACCTTGCCTTGTGTAAGTGTTGATATGTGTGTGTGTCTGTTTCTGTGTGATGTGTCAGCCAGTCTGTTATATAGTCAGTGGTGCTTAACAGTATGTGAATAATGATGTAAATTAATGACTAATATGTAAATTAAGCATTACTACAACATGAGTCACGACTTTATTTGTGAATAACCGACTTCCTTAATTATTTCTTAGGATGTTAATGTTTTAATTAACACTTTAGTTTCAGAACTAACATGAAGTCATGACCTGATAATGAATCTTTAAGTCATTTCATTATCATTAACTCATTATTAACTGATTATCTCCTGTGTTTAAACATAAAGGTTACACACGTTCGTTTAGTGCGTGTTTACTTTGAAAAACAATAGGAATGTGTTCTGTCTACATCAAAATGAACAGTTAAGAATGAGTTAATGATGATGTGCCCCTACAAGTAAAGTCATGATATAAAGATACATTAACAGCTCATGAGTTCATGTTGGTTACATTTAGCTTAAATAAAATTGTCAATTAATACCACATTTAACAAATATGTACTAGCAATTAAGGAAGCCATTATTCTAACATAAACTCATGTGACTCAAGATGTAAATAAAGCCTAAACTCATCATTAGTTCTTAATAAAATAACGTTTAGGTTAAATGGTAGTGCATCATTATTCATGTAATGTTATTATAAAGTGTTACCAACATATCTGTGACATTAACTTGTATTTCTTTCAGAGAGCTTTAGAGGAGGAGGATGTGGTGTATGCTGGAATCGTCATGAAAAACTGATCAAACATTCTGTTTAAGGACTGAATTTCTAAAACTCAAATACCCCAAAATTCAAATGCCAGTTATTTAGTTTACTGTATGAGTCCGGATGAGAGACAGATCTTTGTATACCGAGAATCTCAAAGCAAAACATGAACTGAGTACATAAAGGGTTAGGAATTGGGCGGCATCACACCATGTCATTTTGTGTTTAATAGACCTCTAATAAACACCTAAAAATAGACATCTTGGCTAAAACAAGAGTAAATTTGGGATGTCAGTGAAAATCTAATAGAAGAATAGCCCAAAATCAAACACTCATTATACAGACTTCATATTTTAAGTCATTCATTCATTCCTGTGTATTGGTGACTCATCTAGTTTTGGGCAATTCTTAAACGGCTATTAGATGTTGACTGTCAGCTCAAATGTAGCCTTGTTTTAGCCAAGATGTCTATGTTTAGATCTCTATGAGACTTCCTGGATTGCAGAGTCTCAGTGAATCCACATTTTCCTGATTGTGCTCATTTTTGTTTTAAATTATGACTAGCACTTTAGGTTTGAGGAACTTGCATTAAAAAGAACTGAAACATCAATTCACATGAGCAGGTTGTGCTACAAATAATACAAATAAAATAATTTTCTGTAGTGCAAAACGAATAGAGAGGCATATTTTCCTTTTATACTGTTCTTACACTATTTAATAACATTATACCATTATGACTAAATAATTACAAAATAATTAAATAGCATTCCTATAGATCTTTTTTTAATTTGATACAGTTCATTATAAAAGCATTTGTTTTATTCGTTGATATTGATTGGTAATTTATTTAAGTATCACTGCACAACACACAACTTAGGAAAAAAATCTATATAATATTGAAATGCTTAGAGAAGTTGTGTATTTCAATAAAAGTAATTGAGTTTGAAGTTTGAGTGACCCCTGCTGGTGTTATGTTGCATCATTCCCCTTTTTTGAGACTGCACCCTTCCTTCTTTCACTGCTTTGATGTCTCACAATGTGGTCCATTCGTAAAAGTTCATTATAAAAATCAGGATGAAGCCTGAAAGTAACACTCATTTAAAATTCATTTTTTGTGGTTTGTGTTTTGACTAATTTTTTATCTAGTGAGAAGGTAGAATTGTAGTAATTAAATATGATATTATTATATAATTACAACTATAATAATCAGCAAATATGTTTTGTTGTATATGAATAAACTGTTGTCTTAAAAGTTTGTGCCAATTTTTTAAATGTTGCAAATGCTGATTCCCAAGAGTCACTGCAGCAAGTCAGCTGCCTATGTAAAAGCCATTAACACACACACACACACACACACACACACACACACACACACACACACACACACACACACACACACACACACACACACACACACACACACACACACACACAAACACGCACGCACGCACGCACACACACACACACACACACATATATATATTTATTTTTGTGCATGTGTGTCATTCATATGTATATGTATCACAACTCTGTGTAAATAACTTTTAAAAAAGTGTTTTGCTGTAGTAAAAGGAAACAGAATTTTACTGTAAAATGTATAGCATTTGTATTAAATTCTCTCGTGCAAAAATAAATTATCCATGTACTCATTACAGGTAATAACTGTGGCAATAAATGGCAAATTACAGTTCAACAATTGTTCAAATTTTCAAATATTGTTTAAGGGTTAATTGTTAAAATTAGTTGGGTCCGTCATTCAGTCAGTCAGTAGGTCAGTCATTTCGTCAACAGCGGCCTCTGTTGCATTTATGCGAGAACAGTAGACACCAATGGCACTCGCAAGTGAAATTCGAGATCTCAAAAAGCGTACTTAGCGGCCTCTCGTGCGATGTAAAAAATATATGTGGTTTTAACAGTAAATCTGTAAAATCTACAGTGAACATTTGTTAAATAATTAACTGGACAAAATACGGGAAATAGCTGTAACAGGTCTAACCTTTGTTTTCGAGAAAGTAGGCAGAGTGTCTGAAATCTCACCATACAACCTCATTCACTAGTCCCTAAAATAGTTGATTAGTTTAGTCCACTAGACAGAGTGAATGAATACAAATGACTGATTGATGAACAGCTGCTATTAATAACCACAATCACTGAAGGAAAGAACTAAAAAATAAATACAAATAATAAAACTACAGACACCTCCTCACAGCAAACCAACTGAATTAAAACAGAGGATTAAACAATTTCGATAAATAACAGCATTAGCAGCTTCACTGATTACAGTTTGAACACATTTCTGTCATATCTGCAAGAATATTTGATAATTAACAGAGGTTTACATTTTTTATTGAAAATGTTTCATTTGACCTCACCATCATAAAGATCAGATGCTACTTTAATTGAGCTCTTGAACCTTCACTCTTCTATTTTAATGTTTCTCTGGCCATCATAACTCTGTTTCTGAAACTCATCGGTTATAGCAAGAAAGGTGATGACGAGAAAATATACTAAATTTTTACAGATATAATTTCTAGTATTTTATAAGTTAGGTCATAATTGAAGAATTACCAATTTATATTAATGCTGTTTGGGACAATATTGCAGCTTCTCATGGAGGATCACTAAAGAAAGGAAGGAAATAATAAAAGCTTATAATTAGAGTTTTATGCACAAAACATTGAGAGCTCCAGCAGCACATTAAGAGACACAGACATCAAAAATCAGGATATGAACCTCAAACATGCTAGAGGTTAAAAAGGAAAAAAAAACTGCATATTTCATTCATGCCGCAATGCATGCTGGGTGCCAGCATAGTACAAACTCCCAGCATGCATTGCAGCATGAACATATTACGCAAACTTTATGTTCTTACAATCTCTTTCTTTGCTTTTATTCTATGTTGTTTTTGGGGGGTAATATTTCAGTAGAATGTTTTGTATTGTTCAGGGTTGTTCTTTTTTTTTTTATATCTATTTTATTTATTTATTTTTTGCCAACCTTATTGAGATTCAAAGACTAATTGTTGATGTCTGTGTGTTTTTAGGTTTGCCATAGAACAAACATTCTCCTTGTGAATGGTGTATTTAGACCTGTTAACCAGTCATTGATTGCTGAAGCTCCAGTGATTTCATTAATGCAAGTTATTAATTTCTCACACATATTTAACAAGATATTGAATGAGTTAACAGGAATATGAGAGTGGCTTTGATGTCATAATCTCATCAGTCTTATTCTAAAATTTTCTTTTGGCTTTTCCTGCTATAAAAATGGTGTGATCAACACAATTAATTATAGCAGCCAAAATGAAAACTAGTGTTAAAATAAGAAGTTGAAGAGCCCAACTTAAGCAGACTCTGACCTCCATCATGGTGACTTCAAAGAAACAACAAATAGTTCATTAAGCTTTTTTCTTGACAGAAATAAAGACAAAGTTCAGTAAATTAAGTGTTGTCCCCGATGTTTGTAGAGTTGTTAAATGATCTCTGCTGAGATCTTGAGAAATAAATGTTTCATTGTGTAATAATTTTCATTACTTATTCTTTTAACTTAGAGTTTTATTTTCAGTTGAGTTCATCTTTGGATTTGGCAGTGATTTGTGTTATTTGGTCTTGTTTTTCTTTCCTTCAGTGATTCTGCTGTTAACAGTTGTTCATCAATAATTATCAATTCTCCTTTAATTAGACACTTAATTATCTCATTAACTTCACCACTGCCTTGCTGTTCAACCCTCTGTGGTGAGGACACTAGTGAGGATTTTGCTTTGGGATTTAAGGGGTTAAATGTGTTTGATGAAAAATACACACTGTGCAATGTATTTTTAACAGAAATATTCTGTAAATTGAATTTCCGAATGTAAAATGTTGAAAACAGTTCATTACTGGCATCCCCAGCTGCCGGTATTTTACCGTAAATTTAACAGATTTTTTTTTGACAATGTGGATTTGCAAAAAAACAAAAACTGCAAAAATACGTACTTCCTAGGACAGGCATGTCTAAACTTGGTCCTGGAGGCCTGGTGTCCTGCAAAATTTAGTTCCAACCCCAATCAGACACACCTGGGCTAACTAATCTTACAAGGCTTTCTAGAAACATCTCTGCAGGTGTGTTGAGGCAAGTTGGAGCTAAAATCTGCAGGACACCAGACCTCCAGGACCGAGTTTGGACACACCTGTCCTAGGACGTATTTCACAGCCTCCAGAAATGTATATAGAGGTACGTTTTTAGAATGAGCCAGGGTTGCAACATGCAAATAAAAAAAGAAAGTTGTGATTTTTAAATTTACGTTGACTTGAATTTATTGAGAATTGACAAAGAAAGTCCTAACTGTGGATTCCTGAAGTCAGAGGGAGTATGCAGAGAAGACTTGCAGTTGTAGACACACATGACACACACAAGTGGGAAAATCCAGGAAAACATAAACACCAGTACAAACAGGTAAATACCAGAACTCAGAAGATTGCTGGAATCCAGGAGAAGGATCCCAGGAAAGTAGTAGCGTGGAGAGATCGGAAGATGTCTGTAAACATTCATTCATTCATTCATTTTCTGCCGCTTTTCCGGGGCCAGGTCGCGAGGGCAGCAGTCTTAGGAGAGAACCCCAGACTTCCCTATCCCCAAACACTTCCTCCAGCTCTTCCGGGGGGATCCCGAGGCGTTCCCAGGCCAGCCGAGAGACAATCCCTCCAGCGTGTCCTGGGTCTTCCCCGAGGCCGCCTCCCGGTGGGACATCCCTGGAACACCTCCCTAGGTAGGCGTCCAGGAGGCATCCGAAACAGATCCAAAGCTCATGACCATAGGTGAGAGTAGGGAGGTAGATTGACCGGTTAATCGACCTACATTACTACGTGTCTGTGAACAGGTGCATTCAATCAGTAATCAAAGGGAGAGTGAATGGCTGTGAGTGGGTTCAGGTGACTGAGGTGACTCCGATGACTGCCTGACGATAATGTTGCCATTGGTTTTCACAACACTTAAAAGACGTTTAGGGACTGAAGATAAAGTTTTTCAGGTGTAATTTTGTCCCATTCTTTCTGCAGACAAGTCTTAAGGTGGGCAACAGTACAGCCCTTTTGGATCTAGGAAGAAAAGTCTCACACGACTTTGTAAAACAGTTTACCCACTGCTCTGCCACCTGAAAAACATTCACATGCATAAGATATGATTGCTAGAACTTTTTGCTCTGTTTTTTATTTATTTAAATTACTTATCACAACAGGAGTGCATTCTAAAAAGATTAGTGTAAGTGCACTGTTTTAAAATATGTACTGATAATACGTAATATTGTAAGAATATACTCTTAAATGAGAGTTGCAGTGGTATATTCTTACAAGATTACTTTATTGAACATTAAATCCAGTCTAGAGAGGGGTGGAGTTGTTGGTTCTGTCTTACTTGATTTTTAAAATGCCTTTAATAATGTTAACCACAATGAACTTTTATTTAAATGATCCAGGTTTCATTTTTCTGTTAATGCATTATCATGGATGGAGTCATATTCAAAATTAGGAAAACAATGAACAAGAATAAATTACACATGCTCACCTATTATTATTGTAATTTTGGAGTCCCATAAAGATCAATTCTTAGACCAATTCTGTTTAGTTTATACATTAATGATTTGCCTGCAGTGTGTCCAGAAGTTCAAGTTCAAATGTATGCAGACGACACTGTAGTATATACTTATGCACAAACTAAAGAACAAACTAACAAACTTAATGCTGCACTAAAGAAAGTTTAGACTGTTTTAGACTGGTTATGTCGTTCATGTCTTACCCTCAATGTAAATAAAACTTTTTTTTTTTTTTTTTTTTTTTAATTAAGAAAATGAGAAGCATTGCTCAGATATTTTAGTTAATGGAGAAGTAATATATATATAATTGATCATTTTAAATATTTAGGCATAATTACTGACTCTAATTAAAATTTTAAAAACGCATTAAGAACGTTTCCAAAATTCTAGAGCAAGTCAGAGGATTTATAGAAACATCAGGCATCAGTTATCTATGGCTAACCTTTTATGAATACAAATATTTTCCCTCATTTATCTTATTGTGCAACAAGCTGGTCACACATGAACATTAAAACATTAAAACAATTTTATATGATCTATAAACAAACCGTAAAAATGTTAGCTAAAAGCCTAGGAGCTATCATTACTGTAACTGTATTGAACAACATAAATTACTAACATTCGACAGTTTCTTATTTTATGTGTAATGTAAAAAATCTTTAATGATCTTGCACCAACACCTCTCA